AAAAAAAATGTATAGCGAAACACTCATCATATAACATTTGTAAGATCCGAAATTGAAATTGGACTAGAAATTTCAATTAATTGATGCAGGATCAAGAAAATTTAATCCATAAGAAATTTACAGTCCCAAAATTACATTAAAATATACCATTTAATTTCTTCATTTCTTGTCTTGAATATATACTGCTTATATAAGTATTTGTTATCTGGGTATAAATCCCAAATTGCTATGGATTTTGATCCTGTGTGTTCTTGCTGTTATTACCAATGGCTTCCACTGCGAATGAGACGAACATTACAAAAATTTCTGTGCCTGTAGGCATACTGAGGAGTTTCTCCGGCGACTTCTCCTGCAGGCTGTGTGTACATGTACACTTGTGGCCGGCGGACGTGACGGAAGCAACGGTTGCCGCCAGTTGATTTTGGGCATCCTGGGGGTATCATGCCGGCAGCGGCGGCGGGATAAGACGATTTGGGCGATGTAGTAGAGGGCGGTGTGGAGACTGTGTTGGTAGTTTTAGGAGCTGACAAGAAAGCTCTGATCTTGATCGCCGCGGGCGGCGGCGCAACCCTGTCGTATTCTTCTATAAGATTAGCAAGATCCTCATCGGAAGTGATTGATACGAGAGCATCTAAATCTTCTGTTGGTAATTGACATCTCAGATTCACTACTGATGTTCCACACATCTCTCCCAGCTTCATCAACAGCTCTGTAACACACGAAAGGGTCACTCTGGGCCCATAGACACGAAACGACCCTATAAATACAGTGGAATTGAAAAAACCAGAAGGGAACTAACCAGAAAAAGAAATGGATCGTTCGACGGAAAGAACACGGGTTTCGCCACTGTGGTAACGAAGTTTGCCATCCGGGTAACGGGGGAGAATCCTGCCACCGTAGCTGCTAAGAAACTTGATGGTGCTGGTGGGTTTCACGGCGAGTTCCATGCTTAATAATATTTTGCTTTTGGGTCCTGTAAATGATACCAAAAGGAATTCTAATAAAGAAGGAGAAGAAGAAGTAAATAAGGTTTGGAGTGGGCTCTTCTTGTAGCGTATGTAAGGTACCATTGGGGACTTATTTATAGGGGTTTGGGGAGGAGCGCCGCCTTGGGAGGGTGGCCAAATGGGTGGTGGAAATTAGATTCCCAAGCCCGAATGGACCCAAGTGTAAATTTGAAAAGATTTATGGATAATTAGCACGTAACTTCCCCACCTTTCAAAGAGCAAATGGATCACAAATAAATTATTCAAAAGATAATTAGCACGTAAATCTTTCACTATTATTGCGAAAAGGGTTATGCTACATGTACATAATTTTTTACCTAATTTTTTACACCCCATTCACATTTAGAAGTGGGGACCACGAGCCGTATTTTTTTAAAAACATGGGGCCCGCCGCATTTGCGGAGGAGGGGGACACCATTCGATCACCCCCCTTGGGTACATCCGGATAAACCCTTGCGAAAAATGTCATTACCTTTCTTTTTTGACATTTTCACCATTAATTACACATTTAATTCATCGTTTCCATATATTTTCATCAAATTTCTCAATAAAAAGTTGTGAAATGATGAATATACCCTTCTATTTAAATAGGAAAGTTGAAAAATTAATTGCAATCATAATCCAAATTTTTAAAAAAGTGCAAATGAGATCTAAATAAATCATTAAAAATTAGAAATTATTTTTTTTAAAAAAAGAAGTGCAAGCGAGCCCCAAATAAATTATTAGAAAATTAGAAATTAATTAAAAAAAAAAAGTAAAGAGTCCCAAATAAATTATTTAAAAAATTAGAAATTAAAAAAAATTATTTTCTTTTAATTTCTTTTTTTTTTTAAATAGAAAAGTATATTCATCATTTCACAGCTATTTATTGAGAAATTGAATGAAAATAAATAGAAAGAATGATTTGTTCAATCAAATGTGTAATGAAAGATGAAAATACAAAAAAAAAAGGTAGAGAGTTCTCCGCTATAATAATGAAAGGTAAATACATTATATGCTAATTACCATTTTGATAATTTATTTGACATTCATTTGTGTTTTTTAAAAAAATGGGACTATGTTGCAATTAATTTTTTTTATTTAAAAAGAATGGTATATTCATAATTTAACAATTTTTAATTGAAAAAATGGATGAAAATGATATTTTGGTCAATAAAATGTGAAAGTAATTATGAAAATGTCAAAAAATGAAAGGTAATGACATTTTCCACAATAACAGTAAAAAGTAGGGACGTTATGTTCTAATTACCCAAAGATTTACCTTCTTTTAACAATTTTTTATTAGAGATGATAAAATATTTTATCTGTCTCATGTTCCCCAATTTTTATTTTAATATTTTTAACTTTGTATTTAATAAAATTTTAAAAACAAGTAAACATGACGGAAATGAAAATGTTTAATTCTCATCCCACAAAGCTCACAAAATTATTTGTTAACTATAGTAATTTAAGGGCAAAATGTTCGACTTGTGCGTGAGCAATTCGACCTACATGTGAACTGACCTATCTTTTATCTAGTCAGCCGCCTTAAAGTTTTGGATGAACGTTTTAGTGTCACTTGATGAAGACGAGTGACAATTGATCATGACTTCTCACTCGAAAGATTAATAACTATAAAAAGTTAAAAGCGATTAAAAAAAATCTAATTATTATTGAACTTCACACGTAACAACTTGAAATATCTCCAATTTTTACTACATAAACTAAACAAAACAACAAAAAAATTAAATTACTTTCTTAATAATATTGTGTTTAGTAGGGGTTTTTGGGGGAAGAATTGATTTTTGAATAGTGATATGATGGAAAATGTGTAGTTGAAAAAGAAGAAAAAAAGTATTGATGTGATGGAAAATATTATTTTATTGAAGAATGTATGGTTGAAAATGAGAATTGATTTACTGTAGAAAATGAGAATCTTTACCAAACAGACTCTAAATCTATTTCATAAATTCCTTTTCATCGATCCATTTGATCATCAAACTTGGTTGTGAGGGATTCTCAAAATTTTACAGTAAATCAATTCTCATTTTCAACCACACATTTTTCAATAAAATAATATTTTTCATCACATCAATAATTTTTTCTTCTTTTTCAACCAAACATTTCCCATCATATCACTATTCAAAATCAATTCTTCCATCAAAAATCCCTCCCACACAAGCACTAAAATAATTTATATAAAATACTATCATTGTTACATACATTGCAATCAATCTCGTACAAGATGGTCCAGTGATAGTAGGTTTGACTGCGATGTTGGGCCTTGAAACTGTTGAACTATCGTGAGGTTTTCGATAAATACTAAAATTTATGTTGAATTTGAATATTTTTCTTATTTTCAAGAAAAAAATTGGTTATTAATTTTTTATTTATTATATGTTGTATCATCATGTTATTTCCAGAGGTTTCACTTTAAATTGTTTTAGAAAAAAAATTGTGATAAATAAAAATTTGATAAAAATAAATATTTTTGGATAAGGGAAATAAATATTTTATCAAAATTGTAAATTTAAAATTGATTGTCTAGATAATGACCATGTGGTCCCTTGATGACTAGGCATGTGGGAATGGAGAAAGAGATTTTACATTGTTAATATTTCAGCCTTTGTTTGAACGGAATTACGTGAAAATTTATTTTATTGAGAAAATATATAGTAAAAAATGAATTTTAAAAAATGCGATTCGAATATGGGCTCAATACATTTAATAGTATTAACAACTACAAGTCACTAATGCAATTATTAAGTAGTTGCCAACTAAATCACATGTTTTATGAATAATTATGACTTATAATTAATTGAATGATTTGTTCCATTTAATTAAAATGAAGGGCAATAAGAATCTACACTTTAATTAAATACCAATATAATTAATCCCTTTAGTGTACTTAGCATTCTATAAAGGAGAATTTACAAAAATGACCAATTTCATGCTGTCAATTGAATAATGTCTAATTTTGATAACTCTTGCAAAAATGGTCGAATTTGGCACCAAATTGTCTATTATATTCTTAATGAAAAATAAATTAAATTTTTAAATCAAAATCATTAATTAATTTTAAAAATACATTTCATGAGACTTACAACCTTTCAATCTCAAATTTCATAAATTTTTATTAAAGTTTACTAAATTTTAAATTTTTATTAAAAGTATTTTCGAAATAAGAAACTCTTTTAAAAATTATTTTCCAAACAAAAATTAAGGTACATTTTTCTCAAAACTCTTCTATATGAAGCAATAGAAAAAGCAAAATTAATGTTAAACGGACTCTAATTATATTTACCCTTAAAATGGGCCGATCATGCTAAAATTTTAATTAATTAATATATTATTTATCGGATGGAATAATTGGTTTTGAGATTACTTGTTGAGTGTTTAACTAATATGGATTATGCTACTTCATTGGAAGGATTTTAATAGATGTAGTGATAGTAGAAGATTGGATGAAAAAAATTATTGTATTTTAAACAGTTCAATAATAAAATATCATGTGACATTATGTCAACGTTTCTGTTAATCTACGTGAGTGACACTTTGGCATGATTGAAACTAATATTCCTATAATTGTTGTGTCCAATATTACTTTTATAATTCTGGGCCGTGTTGGTCCCACCTGAACATGCAAATTTGCTACAATAGCCCCCACTTTCTGGGCCATGTTTGTCCAACTTAAACATGCTTATTTGCATTTGTGGGTCCCACTTTTTGGTCCAAAGGATTGCATATCTATACCTATACCATTTCACATATTTTCCCTCTTCTTCTTTTCTATTTTTGAAAGATCTAATTATAATTAAATCAAAATTAATAATTAATTTTAATCATACATTTATTTAGTGGGACTCAGAATTTTTCAACCACACGTTCCATTAACTTTTAATAAAATTTGCTAAAAAATAGATTTTAATATCTACCAAATAGTGGATAACTTGAATATGGAAAAAGAAGTATGTTAGTCTTTACGCTGTATTATAATCACATAAATATTATAAATTACATCTCACTTTTAAGTTTTTGATACTAACCCAAGTTATAAAGCCAAATTTAACTTTGGACGTATGAAAACAATTCGAGACAAATTTAGCAAGGCTGACGTGGGGCTATCCCAATTACCTTTTTTACATATTAATTCGGTCTAAAAAATTTCTTTAGTTGAGTCCCAACTCCTTTCCAGAAGACAATGCTAAAGTATAACACAAATTTGATTAGTTTCAGCCATTAAAGACAATTTGCAGCTATAATAAACGTTTAAAAGCTAAATGCTAAATTTTAAAAATTGGGGATCGATAGTGCAACTTTCTCATTTTCCATTTTCTTAACCCTTTTCTTACAAAGATGGTTGAACTTTAAGCATATCGAATCTTCCTTTATGAATGTTCCTAGGTTCATTTAACATACATAATGGCACAAGCCTTGAAATTCTACTTTAAATTAAGAAATGGAATTTGACTAGATTATTCTCGTCGTGACTCTTAAGTACTTTTCATATCGTTAATTATACATTTTCGTGCACTTTAATTTTGGTATAATAGCATAAGTTTGAAAAAAGAACAATTCACGGTGTATCCTCCAAATATGAAACTTCGATTCTCTATTATTGAGCACCCGATTAAACTCAAAAGGTTCTTCATTTTCAAAAGAATGGCCAATCTTCGCAGAACCTAATATTCGTCCCTTCTTTTTTCATCGATTCCATATACACATGCTATATAAAATTCAATTAAAAGGACTGCCACCCTAATGGGACAACATTAGTGAAAAATTATGCCAATAAATTAAGGTAGCGGAATAAAATTAGAGTAATGCCTTTTATCATCGTGATGATGAAACATCGATAATGTAATAATCTATTATCTCTCACATTTCTCTCTATCCCCTCCCCCTCTCTTATAATATTAAGGCAACCTAATTTAATGCTAATGCTTTCCAATCTTTTATGT